CGTTCCATTTCTGGGAGTCAGCAACACTCTCTAGAGATCAGTGTTTGATTCAAAGGGCTGATTCCTCGGCGCGGGACTTCAGGCAGGGGGAGCACTTGCAGGAGGAAACAAGCTCTCCTCTAGCAGAGGGACCTTCCTACAGCTGGAGCTGCATGGACCCTGGCCTGGTCTCGAGGCCGGTGCAGAGCAGGGGGATCTGGACCCCACATGGGCTCCAAGGACCGGAGAGGGTACATGAGCCACAGAGCACAGGTTTCTCTACAATGCTAGACCTAATGATACGTAATTATCCACCCTCTGGAAGGCAACGGATTGGCTTGGAGAGAGGACTAGGGGGAGCTGGGAGCTCCCAAGGCCACTGTTTTATGCTCTCACATGTGTAGGTTGCAGCAACGATTCGTAATAAGAAAAAGAAAAGGAAGGGGCCAGCACTGTGGCACAGCGTGTTAATGCCCTGGCCTGCAGTGCCAGCATCCCATATGGGTGCCAGATAGAGTCCCAGCTGCTCCACTTCCAGGCCAGCTCTCTGCTGTGGCCCAGGAAGGCAGTGGAGGATGGCCCAAGTGCTTGGGCCCTGCACCCGCATGGGAGACCTGGAGGAAGCACCTGGCTCCTGGCTCCTGGCTCCTGGCTCCTGGCTCCTGGCTCCTGGCTCCTGGCTCCTGGCTTCAGATCGGCGCAGCTCCAGCCATTGCGGCCAACAGGGGAGTGAACCAGCAGATGGAAGACCTCTTTCTCTCTCCGCCTCTCCTCTCTCTGTGTAACTCTGACTTTCAAGTAAAGAAATCAATCTTCAAAAAAAAAAAAAAGAAAGAAAAAGGAAAGGAAAATGGCAGAGGTGGGTCAGCCTCAGGAGTCTGGCCATCCTTAATAATACCAATCAAAACGAAATCTGCTTGCACAGTGTGTTAAGGCTTCTGCTTGCTGACTCACATCCACAAGCACAGATGGCCTTGAGGGCTCATCGCTGCAGGGCCCTAGGCGGCCACAGTTTCACAGGGACGTGGCCTCATGGTTTCTGAGCACGGCAGCTTCTAGGAGTCGTGGCAGAGACATGAACCAGATATGCAAACAACCTTCTAACCCGGACAGGAGGGGACACGAGGCTCGGAAGCGAGACGGGTTAGGTGCCGTGATGTGTCCTGGTCTAGAGCCATGGGCCCTTCTCCCGTGGTTGTCCACACGGCTCCCTGTTCAGGCCCCTGACCCTCGGCAAGGCACCACTGCATCCGGATGGATGAACTCAACTTCTTCCTCCTCAAACCGCTACCTGCTTTCTCAACCTCAATCTTCACCATAGCTCTTGCCGCCACCTGGCTCCCACTCATTGTAATTTGCTTCCGCCTCGTTGGTCTCCTGCTCTGGGGTGTGCCTGCCGTGAGCACACAGGCTGCCCTTCCTGTCGGAGAAAGACGATCCCAGGCCGCTGGAACTGCGCTGGCTCGGGTTTGGCTTCAAGGCGGAGGAAACAGGAGTGTCCCAAGCCTGAATCGGACCAAAATGGGCTCCAAGGGCAGCAAAGGATGGGTTGGTCATGCATATAATCCCGGATGTAACTGGACACAAATTCACCTCCGGGGAGCCTGTGGGATTGCTTTCCATGTGTTCTTCATCGGACAGGGCTACAGGAAGCTCTGAGCTCCCAGGGCCCACTGTTTGGCATGCTCACGGACGCTGCTCGCGATGATGATGGACAGTTAGGGGAGAAGAAGCTCCAGCCAACAGCGTGTGATGAAGAAAGGTTTGAACCTGACAGGCGATCGTACTGTGGACGACAGCCTCCGTCACCTCTGTTTCCCTGTCCCTGGATGAGATGCCTGGTTCAGACTTTCTCCGATGTTTCCCGGCAGTTCCAAAACCACTGTGGTTTGAGGACTTGGCGCTGAAGTGCAAGCACTCCTGGCTGTGTGAGGCTTACACCGCCAGGGGGCGCTGCGTCTTCAGAAGCAGAAGTTCTCCTCCCCCACCCCCGCCGTGATGTCCACGCTGGGTAACAGTACTAGTACCGGCACCCACCGTTTTGTGATGATGAGAAACACGGAAGCCACATCACAAAGCCTGCACAAACCTTGTCCACAGAGCCTCAGTGATCTGGGACCAGCACGGCTCCTTGAACACGAGGCCTCCTCCCAGGACAAGGCAGTCAAACACCCACACCCCTGGACTTCTATTTCCAAATCCCTTTCTTTAGGGGCCAGCGTGTGGCACAGCAGGGTAAGCCACCACCTGTGATGCCAATATCCCTCATGGGTGCTGGTTCGAGACCCGGCTGCTCTACTTCCGATCCAGCTCCCCGCTACTGTGCCTGGGAAAGCAGCAAAGATGGCCCCAGTGCTTGGGTGCCTACACCCATGTGGGAGACCCAGAAGAAGCTCCTGGCTTCGTCCTTGCCCAGTTGTGGCCATTTGAGGAGTGAAGCAGCAGATGGAACATTTGTCTGTGTGTTTCTCTTCTCTCTCTAGTTCCGCCTTTCAAATAAATGAAAAATAAAACAAATCCCTTTCCCCAGAGACTGCACCCATGTCTCTTGGGTTCTTTGGTCTCCTAGCCGATGGGTTGCCCTTTTAACTTCACAAGTACTCAGTGTGGAGTCCCTGCTCCAGTTCTATAAATTCACACTCCCTGCTGTTGCACCCTCGTGAGTCTGGGCAAGCATTAGTGATAACAACTAAAGCTAATTCTACTTGCATCATGTGTCATCGGCTTCCACGTGGTTTCAGTTAAATCTGACTCAAGTCAACAAACACTGGTGACATCATGGTGGAGCCCTCGCAGGTCACAGGGGTCAGTGGGCCACAACCTCGTGGCTTTTGTGCACACGCAGAGAAACGGAATCTACAAGCAACTATAGTACAGGTAGAAAGGGACACACAGCTCAGGAGGGGATGAGACAAGCGCCCCGCCCCCAAGGACCTGAGCTGTCCACTCCCTGTGCTAACCCAGCCTGCACTGTGCCCTGATCACCTGGAATCGTCCCCACAGCTCTTGCCACCACCTGGCCCCCACTCCTCGTAATTCGCTTCCGCCTCATCTGCCTCCCGCTCTGGGGTGTCTACACCACAAGCACACAGGCTGCCTAGGACATCAGCAGGGACCTGCGGGGAGCCTCTGCTGTGCTGACTGGGGACGGCCCAGCCTCTTGGCAGGGACCTGCTGTGCTTCTTACAATGCAATCGGTCCAGACCTTGAGATGAGTGATGGGGCTGGAGCATTCCAAAGCCAAGACAAGGATCAGGCTGGGACCGGATAATGGCCTCCAGGGAAGGTGTCCTAAGGCAGGAGGCATTCTCAGAGCCTCCTAGGGGACAGCTGGAGCCCTCTCCCAGCTCTGAGGGAGGGGTGTGGGCAGCACAGCCCTCCTCCCTGCAGCCTTGCAGCCCCTCAGGACCACACCGGGCAGCAAGAACTGTGGGCCAGCACTGTGCTCAAGCCCTCCCTGTCTAGCAACCCTGGAGCAAGGTGCCTCCTGCAGACGAGACAAGTCAGAGAAAGGGAGGGACTTGTCCATGGCAGGAGGCTGGAGCCCGGGTCCTGAGATGGCACGAGCGTGCTGTGAAGCCGTGGCCTGGCCCTGCGTGTGCAGCAACACAGGACTTGGAGGTGGAGGAGGGGGCGGGAGACACCTGCCCCTAACCAGCAACCTGTAGCCCTCCCTCGCCGCTGGGTTCTGAGTCACCTCCCAGGTCTTCATTTTAACTCAACACAAGGGACCCAGCAGTGACTCAGTGCAAGCGGTAAACACTCCTCCTCCAGATGCGCGAGGCCCAGGGAGTGAGACACTGATGGAGACCCTCGGTGTGAGACACTGAGGGTCCTAAGTTCCCCGGCAGGTGCTAAGTGAGCCCTCTGTTTATCCCAGCTGGAGCGCCCACTAGCTCTGGCACTCTGGGAAAGCGACTTCCTGTCGATGATCCCGGTGTTTCCTCCTCTGGAACAATTAGCAGAACCAACATGGCAGCTGCTTCGTAAATATCCCTTCCCAACGATAATTTTCCCGGTCTGATTCCACCAGTAAAGGTCGTAAACTACTTAATGACCAACATTAGGAAAATGACCCCATGACGTGACAGTTTCAGAACACTTACTTGCGTGGTATGAAATCATGAAAAATCACTTCGGAATATGAACAGCAATACTATAGTAAAAACAATAATGACACAAAAATTGTATCTGCAACTTGGTTGAGAAACAAATCCTAAAGGGACTGTTCTAAACTAGTGTTTATCAAAATCAGCAAGTTGTCCCACTGGGACATACTGCTGTTCCCAGACAACAGAAAGTCTGCACCTTTGCCCAGAGAAAAGTCTCTTAGTGGGAGCCTCCAGATCGTGGCTGGCACTGTGGAAGCCTCGTGGAGTCCAAGCTTTGCAAAGGGTCATTTCGGGAGTGCACACCCACAGCCTGGCGGCAGACCTGCCAATCATGCCTCTGGATTCAAGCCTGGAAATTGGTCCTATTCCCCCAGGGGGCTTGGCTATAGCCTTTTCTCCCTTGTGCCTGCCGTCCCCACCACCTGCCAAGAGAGTCAAGGTCAACCCTGTGTGCACCCTGGTACCTCCACAGAGATGCTCATCTGCCCATTCACTTCAGTCTCAGCGGTGGGCCTCAAAGAGCCCCTGTGGCCCAGCTCCAGCCCCCTCGGCTGCAGCCTCAGCTTAGTTGCACTGCTAAAAGGACCAGTGGGATACCTCCCCATATCTCCCACCCCATATCTCCCAGCCCAGGGGAACCCACGCCTCCTGACAAGTGCACTGGGAAGGTTCTCAGTCTGTGCCCCAGCCCCTTCCTTTGCACTCACCTGTAGAGGGGGCTGTTGTGAGATCCATGCTGGCCTCTGTCTCACAGCTCACTCTAACCCCCACCCCCCGCCCCATCACTGCCATCAGGGGACTGTCCCATCTATGCAGGAATCTCCTGGAAGACAAACCCATGTGGGCTACAAGCTAAGCTTCCAGGCTCTGGTCCCTGGCTACCTTTCCCACACAGCCCTTGTTCCCTACCTGGGACTCCCCATGTCCTTCCAAGCCAAGGTGCTGTGCCAGCCTTGCAGGACTCTTATAGTGCGTCTGGGCCTACTTAGGATGCCTCCTGTGCTCACCTGGCTCTGGAATCAGACTTCCAGACAGGCCTGGTAAAGAAAGACAGGCATAAACCAAGGGGACCGCAAAGAGAGAAGTCAGTACTCAGCTCCACAACAAGCGGACACTGATGCATGTGTGCAAGTGTCAAGAACAAGCAGGTAGGAGCTGGCGCTGTGGCGCAACTGGTTAAAGTCCTGGCCTGCAGAGCCAGCATCGCATAGGGGCGCCAGTTCAAGTCCCGGCTGCTCCTCTTCCGATCCAGCTCTCTGCTATGGCCTGGGAAAGCAGTAGAAGATGGCCCAAGGACCTGCACCCACATGGGAGACCTGGAAGAAGCTCCTGGCTCCTGGCTTTGGATCAACTCAACTTTGACCATTACAGTCATTTGGGGAGTGAACCCGTGGATGGACCTGCCTCTCTCTGTAACTCTGTTTTTCAAATAAATAAAATACATCTTAAAAAAAAAAAAAGAAAGAAAGAACAAGCAGAGAAACACTCCCACATCAAACAGACAAAATGCAATGCCACAACTCCCCTCAGTGGGATGGAGATATGCGACCTCTCTGATACAGAATCAAAGGGGCCATTCTAAGAAACTCCCTCAAGAAAACAATGAAAAGAAATGAAGAAAGCTTATGAGATTTATGGGATAACATCAGAAATGTACAAGATTTTAGCAATAAAGTGGGATAAGAGGGGCCGGCGCCATGGCTCAACAGGCTAATCCTCCGCCTTGCGGCACCGGCACACCGGGTTCTAGTCCCAGTCGGGGCCCCGCATTCTGTCCCAGTTGCCCCTCTTCCAGGCCAGCTCTCTGCTGTGGCCCGGGAGTGCAGTGGAGGATGGCCCAGGTGCTTGGGCCCTGCACCCCATGGGAGACCAGGATAAGTACCTGGCTCCTGCCATCAGATCAGCGTGGTGCGCCGGCCGCAGCGGCCATTGGAGGGTGAACCAATGGCAAAGGAAGACCTTTCTCTCTCTCTGTCTCTCTCTCTCACTGTCCACTCTGCCTGTCAAAAAATAAAAATAAAAAAAAAGAGGGATGAGAGAGAAACAAAGGTATAGAAAGCTTATTTTTAAAATGATGGCAGGAAACTTTCCGTATATGGGGAGAGATGTGACCTTTCAGCAAGAGGGAGCTCAAAGGTCACACCAGTGAGATTTTGTCCGAATCAGACTACCCCAAGACATCATATAAGTGAACTGTCAGGAAGAGAGGGAGGGGGTATAATACAGCAAGAAAAAGAAGCAAACAGAATATAAAGGACTTTCAGCATAGATGGCCCCAGACTTCTCCCAGGAGACCTGGAGAGGGTGGAATGATGTATTCCAAGTGCGGATAGAAAAACATTGTGGACCAAGGATAGGGTGCCCAGCAAACCTGTCCTTCAGAAACAAAAGGGAGATAGAGACGTCACCAGATAGACTAGGAGAGTTCATCGCCACCTGGCCTGCCTTAAAGAAATGCTAACCAGGGCTCTCCCAGCTGAAAGACAAGGATGCTCATGAGTAGCACAAAGACACCTGCAGCTGTCAGACCCACTGCAGAAGTGTACGCTCTACGCCTGAGACCCCAGTGTCGCACAGGAGCGCTGACGGGACGCTGCTCAGCTTCCAATCCAGCTCTCTGCTAATGCGTCTAGGAAAGCACCAGAAAATGGGCCAAGTGTTTGGGTCCCTGCACACACGCCGGAGGCCCAGGCTCCTGGCTTCTGACTGGCCCAACCCTGGCCATTGCAGGTATTTAGGGAATGACCATCAGATGGCTGATCTCTCTCTCTCTCTCTCTCTCTCCCTCTCTCTCTTTCTCTCTCTTCCCCCTTCCCCTTCCTGCTTTCCCCCTCCCTCCCCCTTCTCTACATAACTGTGCCCTACAAATAAATAAATAAATCTTTAAAAGAAAAAGTAGTATATATTCAAATTCACAATATCTTTAGTTCGAAGAGTAAAAGGCAAAACCATTAAAATAAAAATAACTATGCTAATTTGCTAAGTGATACGCAATGTGAAATTGTGGCATCAAAAGTTCAGAATGAGACAAGAGAGGGCAGAGAACCTTTGCAGTGTGGTATAGTAGTTTTAATGCAACCACGGTTGTTACCTGCTTAAAACTGCTCATTAGAACTCTACGGCATTCTTTGTAAGCCTCACGGTAACTGCAGAGCAAAAACCTATCATTGACACGCTAAAAATACAAAGAAGCGATCCAAGCATAGCACTAGGGAAAATGACTTAAGCACAGGGAAAACACGACGGGAGAAAGGAAGAAAGGACACACAAAACCGCTAGAAAACAATTTTTAAATGGCAGTACTACGTCTTTACCTACACACAATCATACTGAATGTAAATGAAATATTTTCCAGTGAGAAGTCCTACAGCAGTCGACTAGGCTTTTAGAAAACTGACCTTGCGCTACCCGTGAGGGGCTTAGGTAAGCTGTAATGACACACGCACAGTGGACAGGAGGACGGAGGGGCGGGTGTCTGCCCAGTGCTTAAGCCACCCCACGCATGCCCACAACCCGTATCAGAGTACCTGCCGTGAGTCCCGGCTCCTCCAGCACTATTCCGCTTCCTGCTAGCATGCTCCCTGGGCGGCACAGGGTGATGGCTCAAGCGCTCGCCTCCCATCACCCGCGTGGAAGACAGGTGGAGTTCCAGGCTCTGGCTTCCGCTTGACCCAGCTCTGCTGTTGAAGGCATTTAGGGAATGAACCAGCAGACAGAAGATCTCTCTGTGTCCGTCTCTCTTCTCATCTCTCCATCTTTCTAATAAAATGAAAAAGAAGTGTAAATATAATTAATTAGTGACTTAACTGTGAGAATCCAAACTCTGAGCCTTTTAGAAGAAAACATAGGGGAAAGTTTCACGACCCTGGTCTGGGCAGGAAGTTAGGTGGTGCGACCTCAAAAAGCACAGGCAATAAACCTAGAAGTAGACAAATGAGACTGCAACAAACACAGCAAAGGAACAGTCAACAGAGTGAACGGACAGGTAGCAGCACGGGAAGCGACATTCGTGAACCACATCTGCTGAGCGGTTACATTCCCAATTATGTAAGGGACTCAACAGCACGCACAGAATAACTCTGTTTAAACATAGGCGAAAGAGCTGAGTATACGTTTCTTCAGAAGGGAACGCACCAAGGGCCAGGAGTCGTATGGAAAGATGCTCAATATCACTAGTCACTAGAGACATGCAAATCAAACACACTTCACATCTGTTCGAATGGCTACTGTCAAAAAGACAAAAGATAGCACGTGCTGCTGGGAATGTAAATTAGCATAGGCACTGTGGGAAACAGTATAGAGAGTCCTCCAGAAAATTAAAAAATAGCAGTACCATATGATTCAGAAATCTCACTACCAGGGATGCAGCCAAAGGAAATGAAATCAGTGGGCAGACAAGTGCTCTGCTCTTTTATCACGGTCGTCACAATAGCCAAGAACTGAGTGAACAGAAGTGTCCGTGGACAGATGAATGGGTAAAGAACATGCAGGGTCTATGCAGACTACTGATCAGCGTGGAAAGGATGAGATCCTGCCCGCGTGTCGGACAGGAGAATGCTATGGTGAGTAAGACAAGCCAGGCACTGGCCAGCGCCATGGCTTACTTGGTTAATCCTCCACCTGTGGTGCTGGCATCCCATATGGGTGCCGGGTTCTAGTCCTGGTTGCTCCTCTTCCAGTCCAGCTCTCTGCTGTGGCCCAGGAAGGCAGTGGAGGATGGCCCGAGTATTTGGGCGCCTGCACCTGCATGGGAGACCAGGAGGAAGCACCTGGCTCCTGGCTTCGGATCGGCGCAGCGCACTGGCGGTGGCAGCCATTTGGGGGGTGAACCAAAGGAAGGAAGACCTTTCTCTCTGTCTCTCTCACTGTCTAACTCTGCCTGTCAAAAAAAAAAAAAAAATTAAAAAAAAAAGACAAGCCAGGCACAGAGAGATGGGATCAGCTGATGGGGAGTGTAAAGCAGTTGGTCTTCTAGAAGTTGGGAGTGGAATAGTGATCGCCAGGGGCCCAGAATGACAGGAAGGAGGAGAGGATGGGGTGAGGTTGATGCACAGGCGCAATGTTAGAGCAGGAGAGGTGTTCGTTCCAGTGTAGGGTGACTATGTTAACAATAATATGTTGGTATGTCCAAAACACAAAGAAAGGATCGGGAATAGCCTCCCCCACACAAAAATGCCCAGCACCTAGGGTGACCAACACAAGAGTCGCACTGACTGGATCATTTCAGGACGCAGCTATGCATTGCAACATCGCCTTGTGTCCTGTTAGCACGTCTCATACAAAAATGGACCCCAACTTTAAGGCGGTGCGGATAGCGCCGGGGCACGGTCTCATGCCGTCTGGGTATTCCACAGGAGCATGTGTTTCTGCATAACCAGACCAGGCACCGCATACAAAGCTGCCTTTCTTTCTGCTTTGTAAACTTACCGGCCAACACTTTAGCAAGAGGGGTCAGCCTGGAAGTGGAGGAATGAGGGGGAAAGAGGGGAGGAGGAGACCCCAGGTCCATCAGCACGTTGTAAACACCTGCTCTGTGCAGGCCCTGTGTAGGCAGTTGATTGTCACAGCCGTGTGGAATCTTAAAGAACTCAGCTGGGCAGAGAAGGCCAGGGAAGGGCATGTTCAAATGCCCTGTGTGAAGCAGGGACAAGCAGGAAACAGGGAGCTGGGCCTGTGGGGGAGAGGAGAGGATGTGGTTAAGAGGTGAGCAGGCTAGAAATGCCTGGGGGTTGGGGGCGTGGCAGCGTGGGGGGGGGGTTAGCCCATACAGAAGGGTTTGCCGTTTAAACGCTAGTGGTGTATTAAAGCTAGACAGTGTTGCCACCTGTGTAGTTTTTTTTTTTTTTTTTGTATCCATCTCTACACTGAGCCATTCACTGGTTCCAACCCCACTAACCACACCCACCTGCCTCTAACCCGCCTCCAATGCCCACCAGGATTTGAAGCAGCCAGGATGGTAACAGGGGGCAGAGTGGAAGGCCCCATCCTCACCGGTGAGAGTGTACAGTGGACGGGCTGGACTGGGGTGCCAAGTTCAGCCATGGCGAGGTCATGGAGGTGGATGGCTTTGCAATTCCATTGCTGGGATGCCCACCTTCCAGGGCAGGTTCCCGGGGCTCTGCCTGGGGACTGAACTCAGTCAGACAGGAGGGCACTGAGGGGGCGGCTCCACCCACACTGTTAGTAAAAGGGGCAGCCTATGTGGCGCCATGCATGCCTCACTCGCCAGCTTAGGCTCTGGCCTGCAAGCTTAGGTCCTGAGCCCCATGGCCCAAGTACCGGTGTCAGCTCCACCCCCACCTGCTCCTACTTCCCTGCCCCGCCCCCAGGGCAAAGTTTTAAAAGGACCTGTCCCTGAACAGGTGGCTCTCTCTCTTACTCTCTCTCTTTTCCTTCTTTGCCCCTACCTCTGCTCTGTCAGGTTTTCCCCACCAAGGAACCCCTCCCCTTGCTCTGGTGTTTGGTGGCAGCCTTCCACGCACTGCCCTCAACAAAGGCACAGACCCTGGCTTCCCAGGAGCAGGCACAGTCTCCTTTCCGGGTCCCTCCTTGGAGAGCTGGCCACCTGGCGAAGCCTTGCTCTTGCTTAAGGGGCTCTGAGGATGTCCACAGCCGGCTCTCCCAGCCCGCAGGGAACGCCTCCTAGGGGACCCTCAGAGGCAGCGGGCATGGACGGACCTCACTGCGCCTTGTCCCCTCCTTTAGCCCTAGGAGCGCAGGGCTGGTTGATCCAGGTCCCGCCACGCTCCGGAGAAAGACCTAGGCGGTCACAGAATCCTAAGCCTTCAAGGTATAAGGCAGAAAACTTGCCCACAGGGAGACAGGCTCTGCCAAGGCCACAGACGCGGTCTGGTGGCAGACAGGGGGCTGTTTGGTTTCGAGTCCCGGTCTGGGAATTCAGTGTGTCTCTGAATACCTTCATGGGTACCTTTTTATTGAGTGTCTACTATGCGCCAGGGAGGGCTGGGGTTTTCCGGGCTAAGGAGCCAGATTGGGCGGGTGGCCAGGGCATCGAAGGGTTAAATTCCGAGCGCACCACGGGGGTGGGGGTAGTGGAGTCTCCCCTAGGAAGAGCCTCCTCCCTCCGGAAACCCGGGCGGGCGCGGAGAGCTAGGGCAGGACTGCCCCGCTGGCGCGCAGCCTCCCCCGCGCCGCGCAGCCCCCTCGCGCCCCGGGAGCAGCAGCTCTCGGGTTACAACAAAAGGGGGCTGGAGGCCGGGCCTGCGGCGGGGGCCGCCTGCGGGGAAGGGGGTGGGCCCGGGGAGGGGTTTGCCGCCCCGCTCCGGTTAAAAGTCCGCGGGCGACTGGAGCGCGCGGCTTCCTCCCCTCGGGGCTCGCCTTGGCCAGCTCGCGGAGAACTCTGCTTGGCGACTGCTCTCCGACCCTGGGCTCAGCGGCGACCGGCGCAGATAGAGGCCCCCGTGGAGAGCGCAACCCGGCCCAGCCACAGCCACCCCGGACCCCTGCTGCCAAGTAAGGGCGCTTCCCGCGCCGGGCTTCCCGAAGCGGTTCGTGGGAAGGCGGGCACCGGTGCGCGGGTCTCCAAGTTCCGCACCCCGCCGCCTCTCGGCCGTGCTTGGGGTTCTGGGGGAGCGCAGCGGCGGGAGAGGACGTGCAAGCCGATGGGGCCCCATTCCGGCCTGGGCGGCCCCGCCCAGCCCTACTTCATCGGGACCGGGGAGCTGGGTTATCCCCTTTCTCGCCTTGGAGCCTCGGTGCGCGCCGGGTCCCTTGAGGGTGCAGCATGGAGCCAGGGGTCTGGGGGCTGCGCCTCTGGACAGATTATGAATTTGGGGGGTGTGGAGCCGGGGTTGCCCACGGAGCTGTGGCTTTGGGGACTGGGAGCGCGCGGGGCTTGGACGCGTCGGGGTAAGGGGCTCTAGGAGGAGAGATGCGGTCCGCACGCTGGAGAAGCATTCTCAAGTCAACCCTGGTGTGTCCGGGGACCTGGGGCCCTGTCCCGCTGTTATTCCCCGTAAGGCCCTAGAATCGGAAGGAACCAGCGCCGGCGAACCTCTTGCGGTGCGCGCTGGGTCGCCCGGGTACAGTTTATTCCGATCTTAGGCAGCGACCCCGGTGCCTGTAAGTTTTACGCAGGCTCTTAGCCCTCTGCGCCCCTCTCCCCAGCCAAAGTCTGCGAGCTCCAGGTGCCGCTGTCGTGAGGGCCGGAACAGAGTGATTGGCTGAAAGCAAAGCGGTCCCTTTCGCTGTCCACTCCGCCCCAACAAAACCCAGCGAGAGTGCCCGGTGGAGAGGCGGCGGCGGGGGCAGAGGGGACCGAGCTGGAGTCCCGAGGGAGCTGTATTGACTGGCAGAAACCTGGCCACAATGAGCTGCAGTCCTGACACTGTGGAGATCTTAAAATCGGTCCGCTCATTGCCTTGTGCATGGGAGGAACACTACAGAAGTTCAAAGCCAGGGGTTAGCGAGTATGGGATTCGAACCCAGGTCCATCAGGCCAGGCTCCTCCTCAACACCCACAGCTGGCCCGTGTGCCCTGGATTCTGGAGCTCGCTTGCCATCCTTGAGGGCTTTTTGTAGTTATTTATGTTGTATTGTGTTATGGGGCCAATGAGTGACTCACTGGGATCCGGGGTCGGGGATCCCTAGTACCTGCCCATGGGGTGACAAAGTGCACGCACCCCAGGGCTCCTGGCGGCTCTCAGGGCCCCTCCCTCCCCTGGGGATTAGGTCTGAGAGGGCCTCTCTGTGTGTGCATCTGCTTGTTTCCCTGTGACTCACTTAGTCATTGAGTGAAGAAGCCAAA